CTAGATGATCTGTAAGGTCCATTCCAACCCCTAAATTCTATGATTCTATGATCCTGGCTCTATTTGAGAGATTCCTCCTGTTGGCTGATACAGTAGACATCAGTAGCTTCAGAAGCTTAAAAATCACTTCCACAATCTTTTTAAACTTGTAAATCTTGGTACATATTCTTCACAGAACAGCCATGTGTTTAACACCTGCAGCTGAACTTAGTAAGGGTTGTTTGGTTTAACTCTTTCGAAAACTCCATGGAGAGTTTAGTTCGAAGTGTTGGATTTAGCTTTGAATATCATTGCAGGACTCTTGATTCCTTCTCCAGCCTCCAATAGAATAACATTGTTCTTCTCAGATTTATTTGCTGCTTTTCTTTTTGTCTTACACCACAGCATGAGGTAAACTTTCTGTGTGGTGCTCAATGTGTAGCTTGGCCATGGCTTGATTAAATGTGTGAAGTGATTTTAGTTTTTTGAGCCACAAGGCTCTGTGCATCAAGGCCACTTGCCATTAGCGTAAGTGAATTGGGAATTTAGTGCACACATGTTTTATCAAATTTGGACATTCTTTTGTTTCCTGAAGTTACTATGGAACTGCGAGGTGGGTTTGGTTAGTCTGGAGAAGAGGTTTGGGGGTGACCTCATGGCTCTCTCCAACTCCCTGACAGGGCTGGGAGAGAGGTGGGGCATGTCTGTCCTGCCACGGCTGCAGGGAGAGGAGTAGAGGGGAATGGCTTTGAGCTGACCCAGAGCAGAGTCAGATTGGATGTTAGGAGAAATGTTTTCCCTGTGAGGGTGTTTAGGCACTGGAATATTGCCCAGGGAGGTGGTGGAGTCACCAACCCTGGAAGTATTTAGGAGGTATCTGGATTTGACCCTGGAGGATCTGGTTTAGGGGTTCCAGAAGTGACAGGTTAATGGTTGGACTCGATGGTCTAAGAGTTCTCCTTCAGCCTTGATGATTGTATGATTCTATGCTAATGAAGGAAAATGTACCCCAAGATACAAAGAACACACCATAGCACAGAATTGATAAATAAGATACAAGGGTTAAAGAGGAATGACAGTATTTATTTTATTTACAGGAATGCGCCTAAAATTATAGAGACCTCTGGAGTTCATTTTCAGGTGGGAATGGTTTGTAACTCTTTTGTTTATGTTAATATATGTGTGTCTTGGTAATTAATCCTGAGAAAAGCAACAAGGAACAGTGACTTTTGAGTACAGCTTTTTGATTTGGCAGTTCCTTGAAAGGTTTTATTTTGTTAAGCAACTTTTATTTTGGACTTTTTTGGGAAGATCCGGTGTCTCCATAGCTGTCATTTTCTTGCCTTCTTAGCTATAAAGTGTTGGCATCCTCCCTTTATTGCGTGCAGTATGTTCTTCTGCATGCAGACTATTAAACCCCCTATCTTCAGTGAATTGAAAGCAGTGTCTGCACACAGACTAATGTTCCTTGTGTCACTGCAAGAAATACAAAGTCTTTATGCTACCAAGCCATGAAATCTCCTGTTTAATTTCCTAGGTGACATCCTGTTGGCTGAAAACACATTGAAAGGAACTGAAATTTTATATGCCACATATGACTGCAATAAACTTCTCGATAACTACAGTCCTTTTCTTTTCCTTTTCCCCTCCCCAAACAGGCAATGTATGAACATCTAGGAGAGTTGCTTACGGTCTTGATCACTCTAGATGAAATAATTGACTACCATGCCACACTGAAAGATCATTGGACCATGTATAAGAGGTGTGTCTTTGATGTGAAAATTACTCCCACAGCATAAAATATAAATGTGCTTTTGTCTTTGTTCCAAGACAAAGTCACAGTGAGAACACAGATTTTGGTAGTCTCAAGAGTTTCCCAGAAATTTCAATGAAGAGCAGGTCTAAGCTCCCACAGTGTCTTTCTAACAGCACCAGTAAGATTTTTAAGTGCTGAATGTCACATTTTCAGTGCATGGTAAGCGTTAATAGTTCTGGGGTTTAAAGTATATTCAGTCAGAAAGACTCCCTGTCCGTAATGACCTTGAGGATTTAAGAAAGAATGCTGTCTCATGTAGAAGCTGAAGAGCCAACAGTTAAAGTCAGTCAAATTAGTGGAATAATTACTGCTTCATTAAAAAGCTAATGAAATGGGAGTTATTCAAATGCAAATTGCTTATGCAGACCTGTTTTTTTCTTGTTTGAATTTCGGAGTTACTGCAGGGTGCAGGTGTGGGCAATGAAAATATCAGGATGTAATAAAACTGTGATCATGTTTTACCTGTGTTGTATGTCTATGTGCCACATTACTCCTTACAGGCTACTAAAATCTGTCCATCACAACCCTTCGAAGTTTGGGATTCAAGAGGATAAACTGAAGCCATTTGAAAAGCTGCTTTTAAAACTGGAATGCCAGTTACTTGATGGAATGATATTTCAGGTAATGAAATTGTTACTCCTCTGTATGAGGGGGGGAAAGTGCTGCATTGAAAGCAACACTCTGTTTAGAATAGTTGGTTTGTTTGTTTGTATTTTGATTTTGTTCCAGTCACAGCAATGTGTGAATTTGGCCCTTGTATCTGTGCATGACGGGGAAAAAAAGGCTCTATTGAAACATCCTTCCTTGCTCTTCTCATGTGTTCAAACTGTGCCAAGCTTTGAATGGCAGCAGTAAACGCTTACTGTTTTGCTGAGTGAGAGGAGCACAGACAACTGCGCATTAGGACTGTGCATTATCAGGAAGTCTGTTTTTGTCCACCTGTTAGTGAGCAGATTTACACAGCACAGGTCACTTTACTTGAGCTGCAAATTGGTCTCCTCAGTCATGTTTAAAATCAGCGTGACACATTTCTAGCACATGAGACAGGTACCTCTCCTTAGCCACTTCAATGGGGCACAGACCCCTGGAAACATGGAAGTGCACAGCTGGATGAGCAGGATTATTGCATCTTCAATGCAGTTAATTTAAATGTGTTCATACAAGGAGCCATCTTTATGTTTTTTGGAGAAGTGTGTATTTGAGACACTGGAATTGGATTTTGAGGCCTAGTGGGCAGAGGATAGCATTGCTGAGTCTGGTCAAGGCAGGGTCAGTTGCTCAGTTTTTGCCATTAAATGACATAGAGAAGAAGGTTTGTTTTGTAAAAGCCTTTGAAAGGGAAATTGTAGGTAAATAATTAAGCACAGTGTGGCTTATTCTTTCAAAGGACATTGCTATCAGCTACGTATTTTTCATCTATATCTCCCTAACGTTGCATTAGTCTAAAGACTTACTTATATGTGTGAGATGTCAGCAGGATTTGACTGGGATTCATTCATAGAATCATAGAATTTAGGGGTTGGAATGGACCTTACAGATCATCTAGTCCCAACCCCCTGCCATGGGCAGGGACACCTCCTCACTAGATCAGGTTGCTCAAGGCTTCATCCAGCCTGGCCCTGAACACTGCCAGGGTCAGGGCAGCCACCACATCCCTGGGCAACCTGGGCCAGTGTCTCACCACCCTCACAGGAAAAAACTTTTTTCTCACATCCAACCTAGACTTTGCCTCCTTCGTTTGAACACCCCACCCCTTATCCTATCATTGCAGTTCCTAACAGAGTCCCTTTCTGGCTCCCTTGTAGGAGATTAAGTGCAGGAAGTTTCCCCTCCTGTCCTGCAAATGCTTCTTCCTTCCTAGCAAAAATACATTACAGCTGTCCTTAAATGCAATTCCATTAAAGACCTTTCTAATATCTTTAGGAAATATGAAATGTGTCAATATTTTTTTGAGTATTGTGTGGGTTTTGGTAGCTTTATTAAACTGCCAGCAGTGTTGTGCAGTTTTATGCTATGAGATCATGAACCACATCTTTCAAGTGACTCGCACGATCTTGTTTCGCTAAAGAATAGTTAGGAACATATTATAATGTAATGATACAAATATGCCTCTAGTTTCTTAGCGCTAGCACATCAAGTGGCTTCTGAAAGGAAAATATGACGTAAAATGGAGGTTTGAATGTCAGGTATAAGAGAGTCTTTTACACTTTCTGTTGTGCTTCAAAATGTAAGACTTGCTTTAAGTTAATCCTAAGTCGATGTGCACTTACCATAGTCTCTTGAATATTCTTTTGAGGTCATTATGCTTTTTATCCCCTTTTTTCTCAGGCCTGTATAGAGCAGCAGTTTGATCCTGTCAATGGTGGAGTGTCCGTGTCGAAGAACGGCACATTTGCTGAAGAATTTGCTCATACACTTCGCACGGCTTTCTCCAGTGTCGAATCTAAACTTGGTAATGTAGCTCATGCTTTTCCTGCCAGCTACATCCTTTCTGAAATTGTTTCTGTTGTTTGTCTGGGAATAAACTTCACCAAAGGTGTATTTATGCAGGTGAACCTTCAGAGATTGACCAGAGGGATAAGTATGTGGGGATCTGTGGCCTCTTTGTACTGCATTTTCACATCTTTCGGACCGTGGACAAGAAGTTTTACAAGTCATTGTTGGATGTCTGTAAAAAGGTGAATGCTTTATTCTTTGTCAGTAACTTAAGAGGGGAAATGAAGTAGATCATTTTCTTAGTTGCATAGCACAGATTTGGGAACAGAAAGAACACACAACTTACCAAAAATACCAAAAGTCAAGAAGCAGAATTATGAATTTTCTACTTGTTATAACTTCCTCCCATAATTTTCTTCTAAAGGTGCTCTAAAACTTTGGCAGTCACAAATGATTTGAAATTGCCCTTAAAACATTTCTTCTCAAGGTCAACGTGGCACTGAGGGCAAAAAGCTGTTCGAGTTATGAATACTCTGGTGGTAAATAAATGCTGTAGGTTTTGACCTTACCTATAAACAAGTATTCTGGAAGAACTCTAAATCCAAAGGTGATTGGGACTTTTTCATTTCCGGTGATGTTAAGAAATTATTAAATTCTCTATACTATTTAGAATCACTGAGGATGGTAAAAACTTTTCCTGTGATGTCCTTGATGGACTTCTAGGGGAGAGACCTTTATGAATATGAATGAAACACTTTGTAGAAAACAGTTTATAGAATCATAGAATTTAGGGGGTGGAATGGACCTTACAGATCATCTAGCCCCAACCCCCTGCCCTGGGAGGGACACCTCCTCACTAGATCAGGTTGCTCAAGGCTTCATCCAGCCTGGTCTTGAACACTGCCAAGGTCAGGGCAGCCACCACATCCCTGGACAACCTGTGCTGATGTCTCACAGCCCTTAGAGTAAAAAACATTTTTCTAATATCCAACCTAGACTTTCCATCCTTCAGTTTGAACCCATTGCCACGGTAGGGTTGGACTTGATGGATTTGGAGGTCTTTTCTGACCCAGTTGGTTCTATGATTACCCCTTGTCCTATCATTGCAGTTCCAGTTGTGCAGAACTAAACTGAACTGTGTGTTTTGACTTACTCCCCAAACCCCTTTTTCTCTTCGTCCCAGGTACCAGCCATTACATTAACAGCTAACATCATTTGGTTTGCTGACAACTTCCTGATTCAGAAGATCCCTGCTGCTGCCAAGCTTCTAGACAAGAAAAGTTTCCATGTAGTTAAAACACAAAGGGAGAACTTCCTACAGCAGAGGGCACAGTCACTTACCAAGTATGCTTCCTACTTCTTCGTGGGGCTCTTTGGCAAATAGTTTTTAAGCATGTGGGTGTCTTAATTCAGTGCACTAACATGTTGTGTAGTGCTGCTCGGTGGTGTTAATCACCTTCTCCAATTCACTGCAGCAATGTGTGTGTGTGTTTAGTGTTGCTGCAACAGATTTTGGTCAAAACTAAGCTCCTGTATGACTCCAAAATGATTATGTTCCTGGCAGTTCTGAATGTTTGTTTCAGTTATTCTCTTCCCATAATTTCAAATTCTCGGTTTTTACTTAAACTGATGTCTAGTATTCTGGAGGTGCTTTGGTTTCTGTTAGGGCTCTCTGCTTTCTGTGTTTATGGAGGTAAGTTGCTTGTAGACTTACAGTGGACTTTTTCTCTGCTTGGTGATATTTTCTTTGCAAGCATTTCTTTCTTTGGGACTGTTTTTATTGCTTGTCTAATGGTTTTTGAAATTACCTGTATTCCAATAAAGCTTCACTTGTTTTGTGCTCTGCATGTAGTTTGCAGCTCAATCCCTTCTCATCTAAGATCATAGAATCATAGAATTTAGAGGTTGGAATGGACCTTCCAGATCATCTAGTCCCAACTCCCTGCCGTGTGCAGGGACTCCTCTTCACTAGATCAGGTTGCTCAAAGCCTCTTCCAGCCTGGCCTTGGACAGCGCCAGGGTCAGGGCAGCCACCACATCCCTGGGCAACCTTTGCCAATGTCTCACCACCCTTAGAGTAAAAAAACTTTTTTCTCACATCTAACCTCAACTTCCCCTCCTTCAATTTGAACCCATTTCCCCTTGTCCTGTCATTGCAGTTCCTAACACAGAGTCCCTCTCCAGCTCCCTTGTAGGCCCTTCAGATCTTGAAAAGTTGCTCTGAGGTCTCCACACAGTCTTCTCTTCTTCAGGCTGAACAGCCCCAACTTTGTTAGCCTGTCTTCACCATTATGATTAATATAAGGTTGAGAAAAACATCTAGATATTCAGACATTTCATGGAATCATAGTCATTTAGCTTGGAAAAGACCTCTAAGATCATCAAGGCCAGCTACTAACCCAGCACTGCCAAGTCCATCACCGAACCATGTCCCTAAGTGCCACGTTGTGCATCTTCTAGATACCTCTAGGTATGGTGACTCAGCTCCTTCCCTGGGCAGCCTGTTCCAATGCTTGGCAACACTTTCAGTGAAGAAATTTTCCTAATATCCAGTTTAAACCTCCTCTGGTGCAACCTGAGGCTGTTTTCTCTTGTCCTGTCACTTGTTACCTAGGAGAAGACACCCGCCCTCACCTCATTAAAACCTCTTTTCAGGTAGTTGCAAGTGATGAGTTCTTTCTTCAGCCTCCTATTCTCCAGGCTGAACACCCTCAGGACTTATGCTCTAGACCCTTCACTAGCTTTATTGCCCTAATTTGTACATGCAATTTTGAGGCTGTTGTAATAAAATCCAGGTTTTAGCATCTGTGGATTTGAATTGTGCCAGTAACTTTTCCTTGCTTCTTTACAAATCCTTTCTCTGCCTTTGATAGTTGAACCTTTGCCTCACATAGGAGCACTCCTTGAAGTTACTTTTTGCTAACATAATCAATGACGTGGATATGCTCCCTTTATATCTGCTGCAGTAAGTTGTATTGCAGTGTCAGAGTTCTGTAGCAAGGAATAAAAAGATTTATAAAACTGAACTCTATTTAATCATTTAATTAGGACTGGTGTCATTCAAGTAGAGAAACTTCCGGAGAGTTGTCACTTGAGAGCAGTCCAGTCTGGCTGTGATGTAATGGAAAGTTATTTGTGCTTGTGTGTATGGGCAACAACAGTTCAAACTTGGATGAAAAAAATTGACAGCAATGTTGGACTTTTTTATCTAGTGTTTAAATGCATTTTCTAGCTGTTTTATTGACTGTGTTAATTTCAAGAAGCGTAACATATGTTGTGCTAAGTGGGGTATTTGTTCTCTTGAAAGACAGATGATTTTTGACTCATTGCGCAGATATAATTGGCAGGCTAATTAATCCTTACCTACAGAGAATTAAAATGTGAATGACAATGCAGGTCAGATACTTTTGGAAATGGTGGGTTATTATTTTGGGGACTGAAGATTTAACATATTTTCCTTGCAAGAATTTTAGTTTTTGAAAGCAAATAAAATCTTCATACTCTGCTTATTTGAAGTAAGCAACACTCTTCGTTTCCTTCTGCAGAGATATGCAGTCATACTATGTTTTTGTGAGCTCGTGGATGACAAAAATGGAGTCTATCTTATCGAAGGAGCAACGCATGACCAAGTTTGCTGAAGATCTCTCCAACCGCTGCAATGTCTTCATCCAGGTATGCAAGTCTTTTAATGCCATGTCCTCATCCAGGTGTGCAAGTCTATCTTTTCATGTGGTGATGCAGCAAAGTGAGGTTTTGGTGTAAGTTGTTGAACAGACTAAGCAATCACAGAAGTTCTGTGATTGTTGGTGTGTTATTTTACCATGTGGGAATTCTTACGGAAGTTAATAAGCACTGGAGACTCTCTTAAGCTAAGGCTTATGCATAAAGCATGTGGGGAAAGGGAATCTAACTTCAGTGGCTAAAACTTTGGGTTTTTCCCATGACTTAGGACATTTAGATGTGAGAAGAAAGTTTATTCCTGTGAGAGTGATGAGACACTGACACAGTTGCCCAGGCGTGTGGTGGCTGCTCTGACCCTGGCAGTGTTCAAGGCCAGGCTGGATGAGGCCTTGAGCAACCTGATCTAGTGAGGAGGTGTCCCTGCCCATGGCAGGGGGTTGGGGCTAGATGATCTATCAGGTTCATTCTACCCCCTAAATTCTGTGATTCTGTGCCATGTATGAGACAAAACAGAGAGGATTTAATCAATTGTCATGTTTGAATATTAACTTTTTTTTTCTCCCTCCTTGTATTCATTTTATTTTCAGGGTTTTCTTTACGCATACAGCCTTAGCACCATCGTGAAAACTACAATGAACCTTTATATGTCAATGCAAAAACCTATGACCAAAACCTCAGTGAAAGCTCTGTGCAGACTTGTGGAACTTCTGAAGGTAGGTCACTACATGGAAATCATTTGTCTCCTGTAGGACATTACAGAGAACATTGGTCAAACAGTTCATATTAAAAAAAACCCAAAAAACTGAGATGGGAAATGTTTTTGCATGTATGACTTGTTGCTCAAGATTGGTTTGGTTAGACAACAGAGATTTGGGAGGCTTCTAGCTGGCTTCCTTAGTTGATATCAGTGGACAGAATGATTAAGGTTGGAGGGGATCTCCAGGGATCATCTGGTCCAGCCTACCTCTGCTCAGGCAGGCCCACCTAGATCCAGTTGTCCAGGACTCTGTCCAGATGACTTGATATCTCTAAGGGTGGAGTCTCCACAATGTCTCTGGGCAACCAGCCTGTGCCAGTGCTCAGTTACCCTCACAGTATGAAACTGTTTCCTGATGTTCAAAGGGAAATTCCAGTGCTTCAGTTGTGCTCATTGCCCCTGATCTTGTTACTGAGCACCTCTGAAAAGAGCCTGTCTGTCTTCTTTTTGACTTCCCTTCTGGTATTTATATCCATTGATCAGATCCCAGTCCAAGCCTTCTCTTCTCTGGGCTGACAGTCTCAGCTCTCTCAGGCTTTCCTCAAATGTGAGATGCTCCAGTCCTGTATTTACCTTCATGACCCTTGGCTGGACTGTCTCCCCTGTGTCCCTGTCTCTCTTGTACTAAGGAACCCAGAACTGGATCCAGCACTCCAGGTGTGGCCTCACCAGTGCTGAGTAGACAGGAAGGGTCATCTCCCTCAGCCTGCTGGCAAAACTTTGTGTGATGCAGTCAAAGCTACCATTAGCCTTTGCCAAGGACATACTGCTGCCTCCCATTCAACTTTGTGTCCACCAGCACCCCCAGGTCCTTTTCTGCCCAGCTGCTTTCCAGCTGGGTGACTCCCAGTATCTACTGGTGTGTGGGGATTGTTCTTCCCCAGATGCAGGACTTCACACTTCTCCTAGTATTCCTTCCAAAAGGAAAATACTCTGCTTTGGGAGAACTTGAGAAAGCAGTTGGCGAATGAAACTGGGAAAAAAACCCAAACCAAAACCAACAAAAACTTAGAACATCCTGAAACTTTTTTATGCTCTTGAATAGTTTGATTTTTCTCAGCTGCTAAGGGTTAATTGCAACTGCTACTAACAGTACATTACAAAGTGAGAAGAGTCTGTCTTTGGCAGTGTGGAGGAGTCACCCAGCATAAAGCCAGATTCTAAAGGCAACAATTTCAGTAACTACATGAACTGTTGTGTTTTGGGGTTGACTTCAGGCGATAGAACACATGTTTTACCGGAGAAGTATGGTTGTGGCAGACTCTGTGACACACATCACTCAGCATCTGCAGTATCAGGCTCTTCACTCCATTGCTGTAGCCAAGGTATGTAATCTGAGTTCTAATAATTAATCTTCCTATCTAAGTGTTAAAAAAAACCTTAAAGTATTTTTCTTTTAAAATCTCTAGTGTAATGCTCTGTTGTAATGCACAGATAGATAAGCTTTCCAGCAGCTCAGAGCTTCTCCCTAGAAAATTATGCAGTGCAGATGGTTCTGTTTTTTGACCAAGAATGATTTGTCTCTTCCTCTAAACTGCTGCATCTCTTGTCGCGTTCTTCGTGTTTTCTTTTTAGTTTTTATTTCTGGTGATCTTCACAAACTGACCTTTTCTAATGCACACTGATAAAGCAATCTGTGGCAGGTCTAACCAAACCCTTTTCTGCTTAGCAAACTAGCAGTGCATGATGCCTTACAGGAGTCTAACATGGGCATAAATTCATGATTTCACTCTGGGGTGAAATGGCTTCTTTTGCTTATCAAATATTGAATCTTGGAATTCTGGGTAAATGAGATTTTAGTATACCTGTTCTGATGTATTACTGATGATATTTATTCTTTCATTACACTCAGTATCAGAATTACAAAGGATGAGTGCTATTGTTATCAGTGCAGCTACTACATTTCCCTTTTATTTGGCTGTAATCTCAATTTAGGTATATGGCATCTCTGTTTTCTAGGGTAAGCAACAAAAAAATAGTTGCACTTCTAAAGAGTATCTGTAGATAGAAAAATATATATATATGCAGGAGTAGCATGATCTGAAGTTCCAAGCTTCAAAGCTACTAAGAAAAACTGTATCTTCAAACAGTTCCCATGTATTTAGATAATTTTCATATCCTTTTCTGTAGTTGTGTGACAATTATTTCTGTATGCTAAAACTTGTGCATTGAAGGACAGCAAAGACATCTGTGAAAAATTCTTGATCATAGAATAATAGAATTTAAGGATTGAAATGGACCTTACAGATCATCCAGTGTCAACCCCCCCTGAAATATTGATATTTTTTCTACTTGTCAGAAAATATATAAAAGGCAAATGTAGGTAAATGGAAGGATCCAGCAGTGCTGTTCTAAGTGGTGTAAAGTATAAAGCATATAGCTAACAGCTTTAGTATGCAAGGTTAGGAGCTTCATACTGAACACACTTTTTCAGGACTAGAAGATCACAGAACCATAGAATAGAATCAGCTGGGTTGGAAAAGACTTCAAAGATCATCAAGTCCAACCCTACTGTGGTTACTAGACCATGGCACTAAGTGCCACATCCAGTCTCACCTTAAAAACCTCCAGGGATGGTGAATCCACCACCTCCCTGGGCAGCACATTCCAATGCCTGATTATTCTCTCTGTAAAAAATCTCTTCCTAATATCCAACCTAAACCTCCCCTGGCAGAGCTTGAGTCTGTGCCCTCTTGTCCTCCTGCTGGTTGCCTGGGAGAAGAGACCAACTCCCACCTGACTCCAACCTCCTTTCAGGGAGTTGTAGAGGGGGAGAAGGTCTCTCCTGAGCCTCCTCTTATCCAGGCTACACTGCTCCTCACAAATACATCTGTGGCTTCAGCTTCTTAGCCAGAAGATTTGAATTCCTTCATTTGTTTATGCAAATGTGTTTGCACTTAGTCTTTCTGTGAAATTAGCATTTTTAGAAGAGTTACAAGCTGTCATCATTACCATGTTTCTATGTCCTGTACCTTTTCAGCTGTAAACTAGATTCAAAGTGTCACTTACATGTACCTCAGAACTAAAATTGGCAGTGCCAATTGGCATGCCACAGTAGGGTTGGACTCAATCTTTGAGGTCTTTTCCATCCTGGTTGTTTCTATGCCCCTTGCACAGTATTTGCATGCTGTGTGACCTAACCTGTTTTCATGTTGAACTGCACATATTCCAGGTGTATGGATAAGCAACATCAGTGAATTGACATAGTGCGTGACTCTGGATTCAGTTAGTTCTGTTCACAGAACATAATTTGGTTGAAGAAATACTTAATTTGTGACAAGTTTATAAGCTCTGGAGAGAAGTAAGCTACTGCTTTTGGGCTTAGGTAACTTTTCTCTGAATTTCTGTGTCTTTCTGTCATCAAGAAAAGAGTAATTTCTGATAAAAAGTACAGTGAGCAGCGCCTGGATGTCCTCTCTGCTCTGGTGTTGGCTGAGAACACCCTTAATGGACCTAGCACAAAACAGAGGCGACTGATTGTTTCCCTTGCACTAAGCGTTGGAACACAGATGGTAAGTGTCCTCATTGTTCCAGACCTTTACGTGTTTGGTGTAGGATCTTAGAAAGTAAACCTTGTGGGTTTTTTTTCCTTTATTTCCACAGAAAACTTTTAAAGATGAAGAACTCATTCCCCTTCAGTTAGTTCTAAAAAAGCTAGACTTGATCAGTGAGCTTACAGAGAGGTAAGTGGTGGCAGAGCATGCACAGAAGGCAGTGTGGTGTCACTGTGTGAATGGCAGAGTCATGCTGATAGGGATTTGCATGTTGCATAGACCAGGGATGAGCAGAAAGAATTGCAGAGCTAAGCCTGAATCTCAATGGTTTTTGGGCAAGGCATATTTCACCAAACTGTTGCCAATGAGATAATCCACTTCTCCGATTGATTAGAAGTTCTGTCACTTTCTCGGGTGACTTGGCTTTATGCTAAGTTAGTGTTCTTAACCCAACCCCCAAATTTGAGTTTGTTAACTCTCTAACAGTGTCAGACTGTGAGTTCACATGTGACACCATGTTTTACTGTTGCTGTAGCCTCAGTGGACACTCCAGTTACATCCTGTTGGCCACTTGAAAGCCAGGTGAATATCTGGGTTCCATGCATAATTTATGGAGAGAAACACCTGTGATGGAAGACTCATGAGAAATTCCTGGGATGAAATGTACACAGGCTGTATCAGGAGAGACCTGCTCTTCTTTTGACTTAGAGGATAAATTTTTTCTAATCTATGTTTGACTTCTAGGCTACTAGTTGCATCTAATAAGAATTGGTTCTTTAGAATTTTGCTGTAATGTAAGATTTAAGTCTTGCAGACACTGCGAAAACTTTTTTTTTCTACAGCAAGTGTCTTTTATTTATAAATAGGCTAGTGGAAAAAAAGAAATTAAAGTTCTTTATCAAAGAACTTCCTTTTGAAGGTCAATGCATCTGGAACATTAAAGTAGTGGTATAAAACTCAGGCTTGAAAAGCACTTGTCTTTAGTTTAAGCACACTGAAGTAAACGTCACCGTCTTAGAAGAATGGTTTCTTCCAATTCTGTGTCTAATAAGCAATCTTGCATTCTAGAGTTCGAGCACAATGTGACTGTTGTTTCTTGTACTGGCATCGAGCAGTCTTTCCAATCTATTTAGATGACGTGTATGAAAATGCAGTTGATTCTGCTAGACTACACGTAAGTAGTAATGTTAGCAACTTAGTTTAACAAGCCACTGTTGTGGGAGAGATTCAGATGAAGAGAGGATAAAACTTAGACTGAAGCTCTCAAAGGAAAAGCTTAAAAATGTAAAATCCAAGCTACTACTGAGGCAGAAAGTTCTTCTCAGTCTGGAGGACATAAAAGCAATCTTTTGTTATAAATCTAAGTACATCTGTTAGATTGCTCTGCAAATCTCAGGTTGGTGTTGTTAACTCTGAGTCTCTGTGTGTTTGTTTGTCTCTTTGTTCCTCTCTTCATTCTAATTTGAAATGAACACCTTCTGCTAGACTCAAGCATTAATTGTGGTTACATGTATATTTCTAAGGCACATATAGAACCATTGGATTTTAGGGCTTGGAATGGACCTTAGAGATCATCCAGTCCCAATCCCTTGCCCTGGGCAGGGACACCTCCCACCAGAGCAGGTTGCTCAAGGCTTCATCCAGCCTGGCTTTGAACACTGCCAGGGTTGGGGCAGCCACAGCCTCCCTGGGCAACCTGTGACAGTGTCTCACCACCCTCACTGGGAAAACGTCTTCCTAATATCTAACCTAAATTTTCCCTCTTTCAATTTGTACCCATTGCTCCTTGTCCTGTCACTACAGCACCTAACCAAGAGTCCCTCTGGAGCCTCTTCAGATTCTGAAAGGTGCTCTGAGGTCTCCACACGACCTTCTCTTCTCCAGGCTGAACAGCCCCAATTTCCTCAGCCTGTCTCCGTAGGGGAGATGCTCCAGTCCTCTAATATCACTGTGTTCAGTGATCCAGTGTGGAATAGTTGTCCTGTAGCTTTTTCCACCCCTCATCTCTCCTCCCCTGTGTAGTATTATGTGTTTTCTGCAGACGTGAATAATGCTTTGGCCTGACAATCATCTCTTCCAGTGTTGTACATGCCATGGTCAGTTACAGTAGTGAGATGAATACAGTGCAGATAATTTCTGAGGAAATAGCTAATAATTATGATCTTCCAGACAATGAATCAGTAGCTACTAAATACTTCAGATGTACAGATTAAGACAGGAAACTTCAGTAGGGCCTATGAAATCCATTTTTAATGAAAATGGGAGGAATAGTGATTTTGCTTTTTGTTACCTTTGAGCACGATTTGAGATGCTGGTGACATATCTGTCAGTCTGCTAAGCATAATTTGTTTTTTTCAGTATATGTTTAGTGCCTTGAGGGACTGTGTACCTGCTATGATGCATGCAAGGCACTTGGAGTCTTATGAGGTGCTGCTGGAATGCTATGACAAAGAAATCATGGAAGTGCTCAATGAGGTAATTGGTTGTGCTTGGAATATCTTACAGGCTAGCATTTTTGTACCAAACCTGAGCTGATCCATAAAAATAGCACAGAGAACTTGGAGACTGGTGTTGAGTAAATAAGAGGGTGATTTGACTGACAGATTCAGTTACTTAAGACCTGTTGTAATGGTATCTGTGTTGACTGGGAACATGAAAATACTGCACTCTAAACTACATGAGGTACCAAACCTCAGTTACAGATTTGAGTGTGCAGACAGAGGAGTGTTTTTTGTCAGATAAGCTTCTGCTTGAATGAATGTCTAAAATGAGTGCTACTGGTCTTTGTGTATATGGGTTTTAGCAGTGAAGGGTCTTGAGTTATTATTAGCTAGAATCATAGAATGATAGAATTTAAGGGTTGGAATGGACCTTACAGACCATCTAGTGCCAACCCCCTGCCCTGGGCAGGGACATCTCCTCACTAGATCAGGTTGCTCAAGGCTTCATCCAACCTGGCCTTGAACACTGCCAGGGTCAGGGCAGCTACCACATCCCTGGGCAACCTGTGCCAATATCTCACCACCCTCACAGGAAAAAACTTTTTTCTCACATCCAACCTAGACTTCCCCTCCTTCAGTTTGAACCCATGAGGGATGTGTGACAGAGAGAAATTGTGCATTTGGATTTCCTGAGTCCTCATTCTTACTGTTTAGATAGATAGCCCTCAGCCTAGTTTCCTTTAAGGTGAGAAGTGAGAATACTTCAGTTTAAATTGTGTTAAATTCCTACATGGAACATTTACTCATGTAAAGAATGGCACTAGGTAGTTAAACCTTTACCTTTTCTGAGCTATGTAGATTTTTCTTGCTACTGTGTGCTAGAACAAAAAACCAGGAAATAAACATCCTTCTGGTTCCTTGGTATTGATTCACTTTGGCTTGTGTGGCCCTGCCAAAGCAAAACTCTCTTCCCTGGTTTCATCAGTCTTTGACTACCTGTGGAGAGAAATGCTGGTTCTGCTAACAGAGCATTGCAGGTGGACACTGAACATGACTGGGATTTGTGTTTGATTTCTGTTAACTTTCCTGACTAGCACTTGCTGGACAAGTTATGTAAAGAGATAGAAAAAGACCTGCGCTTATCAGTTCATACACACCTAAAGCTGGATGACAGAAACCCCTTCAGAGTTGGTATGAAGGATCTAGCTCACTTCTTCTTCCTGAACCCAATACGTTTTTTCAACCGATTCATTGACATAAAAGGTGAGGAGTTACACATTTTCTTCATTCCATTAGTTTCATCTCTGTTATACTGTGTCTTAATCTATCTTTTCACTTCTTTCTACATTCTGCTAACTAAATAGTATTATGTTAATTCATCCTTCTGTTGCAGCTTATGTAACTCACTATTTGGACAAGACCTTCTACAACTTAACAACTGTAGCTCTTCATGACTGGGCTACCTACAGTGAGATGAGAAACCTTGCAACTCAGCGCTATGGTTTAAGTATGACTGAGGCACATCTTCCCAGCCAGACTCTGGAACAGGTACAGTGCCCACAGGATATATCCATTCCACTGTCATACCAGCTAGCTTTAGATCCATGTCTGTTTCCAGCTTGTTGTGGTTTAACCTCAGGCAGCAGCCAAGCCCCATTCAGCAGCTGCTCACTTCCCCATCAGTGAGATCAGGGAGAGAATTGGAAGGGTAAAGGCTAGAAAACTCATGGGTTGAGATAAAGACAATCTAATAGGGAAATCAAAAGCTGCACACACAAACAAAGCAAAACAAGGAATTAATTCACTGCTTCCCATGGCCAGGAGGTGCTCAGAACCTGCAGGAGAGCAGGGATTATCATGCGTATTGGTTGCTTGGGAAGAGCAACGCCATCACCCCAGATGTCCCCCCTTCCTCCTTTGTCCCCCCACTTTATATACTGAGCATAGTGTTGTATAGTATGGAATATCCCTTTGGTCAGTTGGGGTCACCTGTCCCAGCTGTGTCTCCTCCCAGTCTCCCATGCATCCCCAACTTCCTTGCCAGTGTGGCAGTATGGAAAGCAGCAAAGGCCTTGGCTCTGTGTGGGTTTTGCTCAGCAACAACAAAAACATCTCTGTATTATCAACCCTGTGCTCATGCAAATCCAAAGCACAGCCCCATACTGGCCACTGGGAAGAAAGTTAGTTCTGCCCCAGCCAAAACCAGCACACAGCTTTGGCTTTCTGTTGGCAATACTTGGCCAACACATTGTTAGAAAAAATCAAATTATTTCCCTATGTTGGTTTCATAACATTCATTCTGATACGACCTTTACTTCAAAACAAAGACACCCCACACTCCATAGCCCCCTAGCCTCTCAGAGTCCTGATGAAATCCTTGGCTCAACTGGCAATTAGGGATATATGGATTTAGGAGCATCCTCTCTGTGCACAATGATGCTAATGGTTCTCCTTCTATGATACAATGATACTAATGGTTCTCTGATACTAATGGTGGTTCTTCAAGCAAAACCGTTGTAAAATTTATATTGTAAATAGAAAACTTCAGTCTTCAAGAGAGCTTGGGAAAACAGAATTAAAAAGTAGCTAGATTCTTGTGTCTCTGTAGACATCTCTGTGTCTGTAGAAATCTCTAAGGTAAGATGCCATTATTTGGAATCTAAGAACAGCCAAATGTCAGTTTTTATTTGTGTTTAATTAGGTCTTCTGAATGGTCTGAAGGATTCCTTACTTTCAAGGGAAGCTGGGGAAAAAAAGAGTCAGGAGTGTAAGGGTTAAAATGTAGGCTGAGCTGCTCTTTTTCTCCTCTAAGCGTATTATCTTATGGACACTGAACAAAAGTTAAGGGAGCCTTCATTTTGCAAAGGAAAGCGTTGCTTTCTAAAGTAGCTTCAAGTAGTATTTCTGCACCTTAGTGGTTAGACATGTTGACAGTTCTTGAGAAGGTTTGTCTCAATAAATAATACTGTTTCAGGGTCTGGATGTTTTGGAAATCATGAGAAATATCCATGTTTTTGTATCCCGCTACCTCTACAATCTGAATAATCAGGTAAGGTATATCCTGTACTTTCCTCATCATTTGCCTGCAGTTTGAAGGGATTGAGAAATGCAGAGCAGTATACATGTAAGGAAAATCCAGGCTGAACATACAGAATGGGAGGCTGTAAAATAGCTATTGCTGCGCTAGAAAAACACCTTTGAGGATGCTGTAGCAGCTAGGTCTTGGGGAATGTTGTGTAAGCCTGTTTGGGATATGGTATGCCAGTAGGATCATAGAATGAACTGGGTTGGAAAAGACCTCCAAGATCAAGTCCAACCATACCATGGTTACTAGATCATGGCACTAAGTGCCTTATCCAGTCTCATCTCGAAAACCTCCAGGGACGGTGAATCCACCACCTCCCTGGGCAGCACATTCCAATGCCTGATCACTCTCTCCGTAAAAAAATCTCTTCCAAATATCCAGCCTAAACCTACCATGGCAGAGCTTGAGTCTGTGCCCTCTTGTCCTCCTGCTGGTTGCCTGGGAGAAGAGACCAATCCCCACCTGACTCCAACCTCCTGTCAGGGAGTTGTGGAGGGTGAGAAGGTTTCCCCTGAGCCTCCTCTTCTCCAGGCTAAACAACCCCAGCTCCCTCAGCCTCTCCTCATGGCACTTGTGCTCCAGTCCCTTCACCAGCCTCATTGCTCTTCTCTGCACCTGCTCCAGCACCTCAATATCCCTCCTGAACTGAGGGGCCCAAAACTGAGCACAGGATTCAAGGTGTAGCCTCAGCAGCGCTGAGTCCAGGTCAGGAATCACTTCCCTGGTCCTCTTGACCACACTGTTCCTGATCCAGGCCAGGATGCCATTGGCCTTCTTGGCCACCTGAGCACACTGCTGGCTCCTGTTCAGCTTCCTGTCTCTCCAAACTCCCAGGTCCCTTTCACTCCATGTCAATTTTCCTATGAAGCTAGAGGGTAGCAAGGATAATTGGCAGCTCTGTAAGGACATCTGAAGGATGTGAGGTTTGAAAAATGAATATCTGACAATGGGTTATTGGAGAGGTGAAAAGTGAATGACATGGAGAGCATGTACAGGGAATAAACCTTTGGGGTCTCTCCCAGTGTGAGAACGAGGGACCCACTGCAAAAATGAGCAGCTTCCTTAAAAGAAAGGAAGTGAGTTTTTATGTAGCACATACTTCAGTAGTGGAACTCATTACCATAATATGTAAAGGGGTCAAAAGTACAAACAGGTCACTTAATGTAGGATATAGTCTCAATAAATCATAGAATTTAGGGATTGGAATAGACCTTACAGATCATCTAGTCCCAACCCCCTTCCCTGGGGCAGGGACACCTCCTCACTAGATCAGATTGCTCAAGGCTTCATCGAGCCTGGCCTTGAACACTGCCAGGGTCAGGGCAGACACCACATCCCTGGGCAACCTCTGCCAGTGTCTCGCCACCCTTAGAGTAAAAAACATTTTTCTCACATCCAACCTAGACTTTCCCTTCTTCAATCTGAACCTAAATATGTGTGTCTGAGTACAACATCTGCCTTGGAACTGTTGAATCACAGCTTTGTAGAAATCAGGAGAACCTACCAGATAAAATTTATTGTATGTATGCTGCATTTCCTTGGTTCTGTCCCTGATCACCTGTTATCAGCTGGTCTCAGAAATAGCTGATGGGCTACTTAGATTGATAATTTAGCACAAAACCAGTTTTGAGTAATTAACTTCATATTCCCCCTCCTCTCTGCATCCCAGATCTTCATTGAAAGAACAAGTAATAACAAACACTTGAACACCATCAATATCCGACACATTGCCAATTCGATTCGAACTCACGGAACAGGAATCATGAACACAACAGTGAGTATCTTTTGCACTATTGCTGGTTTATTATTTTTTCTTAACTTGTGTACAAAAGCCTCCAAACTCTTGCATCTCCTAATAGTTGGTTTGGTTATGCAGTTTTAATAATGCAATAATGATGTTCTGTGTGTATTAATAAAACAAATTGGTTCTTAGACATGACACAAATCAATATAGAATCGTAGAATTTAGAGGTTGGAATGGACCTTACAGATCATCTAGTGCCAACCCCCTGCCCTGGGCAGGGACACCTCCTCACTAGATCAGGTTGCTCAAGGTTTCATCCAGCCTGGCCTTGAACACTGCTAGGGTTGGGGCAGCCACCACATCCCTGGGCAACCTGTGCCAGTGTCTCACCACCCTTACAGTAAAAAACATTTTTCTCACATCCAACCTAGACTTTGTCTACTCCAGTTTGAACTCGTTACCCCTTGTCCTATCACTGCAGTTCCTAACACAGAGTCCCTCTCCAGCTCCCTTGTAGGCCCTTCAGATATTGAAAAGTTCTTCTGAGGTCTCCACGCAGTCTTCTCTTCTCCAGGGTGAACAGCCCCAGCTTCCTTAGCCTGTCTTCATAGGGGAGATGCTCCAGTCCTCTTAGCAACTTTGTGGCCTCCTCTGGACTTGCTCCAACTGTTCAATGTCCTTCCTATGTTGAGGAAACCAGAACTGTGTGCAGTATTCCAGGTGGGGTCTCACCAGAGCAGAGTATAGAGGGGAAGAATCACCTCTTTAAACCTGCTAGGCACACTCCTTTGGATGCAGCCCAGGATTCAATTGGCTTTCTCGGCTAATATCCCAATCTCTTGGGATTTATGTCATTACCAGTTGTTATATAAAAGTTAATGAAGAGATCTAAAACCACATCAAAGAAGATATAGGTGTTCTGGCGGGACTGTTCTGGTCAAGGGAACTGCCCTAATACTGTATGTGGGAACTGAAAAGTTCTTAGATTATTGGAAAATCATAGACTCATCAAGGCTGGAGGAGAGTCATTGAGTCCAACCATTAACCTGTCACGGCTAGAACCCCTAAAGCCTAAACCATATTCTCCAGTGCCAGATCCAGACACCTCTTGAACACCTCCAGGGATGGTGACTCCACCACCTCCCTGGGCCATATTCCAGTGCCTGACCAAGAGAACTTGTAGTACAAATTACATGGGAATCTGCTGACAACAGCTCTTAGATGCTTTTGTTCCTTTGCTAACTCTCTTGATTTGATTGTATTATTTTCTGTTTCTCTTCTAGGTAAATTTCACTTATCAGTTTTTGAGGAAAAAGTTTTACATTTTTAGCCAGTTCATGTATGATGAACATATCAAATCCAGGCTTATCAAGGACATCAGGTTCTTCAGGGAAGTCAAGGATCAAAATGATCACAAGGTATAGTAATTATTGAAGGCTTGAGAGTCTCTTGGCTAAACAAAGTGCTTCTTTTATGTGAATAAAGGTACACCAAACCATACCACTCCAGGTATTTAAATATGTATCTCCAGATCAAGTGGCAGCTTTTGTCCTAGCAAAATGCAGTGTTGAAAATGCCTGTGTTCAGGATGGCTTTGTTTCATTCTCTCAGTGACCTGAAAAGGATGATTTGAGGGCATCACAGTCTACTGGAGATTTCAATTTCTGGTCTAAATCTTGCTTAACAGTTGTCAGTTTTGAGTAATAAGCTTATTCCAATTGAATACAAAATGGTGTGAAGATGTAGCACTCATTCCAGTGTGTCAGGATTTAGGGACGAGGGTCCGATTTTCTCTGCTAGAAAACTGTGAGAGACAGCTTGTCTAGTACAATAGACTGCTAAACTTCTTTGTATGTCAAGTACTTATTTCATTTAGGAATACTTTCTTGTTCACAATAACACTTCAATTTCACTATTTCACTTTCTAGTATCCCTTTGAAAGAGCAGATAAATTCAACCGTGGCATCAGGAAACTTGGAATGACCCCAGATGGCCAGAGCTATCTTGACCAGTTCAGACAACTCATAAGTCAAATTGGTATGAAATGCTATCTAAGTTGTTATAAATGTTAGTAAATGGAAGAGATCTTCCTGATCTTAGTAACTGAACTTCTAGCTCAGGCTAAAGCTGGACTTAATTCCAGTCAGATGGAAAGTAGTTTGCTTGTACCCCATGCTAAATAAATGCTCTCAGTTAATTACACAGAGATCCCAGAATCAGTTAGGTTGGAAGGGACCACAGTGGGTCATCTGGTTCAACCTCCAGCAGGGCCACCCTAGAGCACATAGCTCAGGGTTGTGTCCAGATGGTTCTTGAACACCTCCAGTAAGGGAGAATCCACAACTCTCTGGGCAATCTGTTCAGTGCTCAGTGACTGCACAGGAAAGAAGTTCTTCCTCATATTCAGGTGGAACTTCCTGTGCATCAGTTTTTGCTGTTCCCTCTTGTTTTATTGGTTTCCCCCACTGAGCAGAGTCTGATCCATCCTCGTGGCACTTCCCATTCATGGACTTGAATATATTAATGAGGTCTCTCTCAGTCATCTCTTCTTGAGGCTGAATAGGCCCAACTCCCTCAGCCTTTCCTCATCAGTGAGGTGCTCCATCTTCATCTAAAATATAGTTACAGCTTGTATAGATTCCTGTTCCCTTTTCAGTTCCTTATGTTTTGAACTCACTTTTATCCGTTTTGAGTATATTGCCCAGAAAAACACAGTATTGTTAGGTTCATGTAATTCAGGAAATGGCCACAAATCCAACCAGGAGTGATGCATGACAGTATAGTGATATTTTCAGCCATTGATGCTGGAGATATGCAGAGCTGATCTGAACTTGCAGGTATTTAACATGCTCAATGGAAAGAGTTTGGACTATTTGACTCTCATGCTGCTGTGGAAGTGAACACAGCCTTGCCTGAAAGTGCACTTGTGTTTCATTTCTCTACACAGACTTTTGATACCGGGCTCCAATGGAACTCTTGAAACTTGGCTTTCAGAGCAGTTTCTTTGCCAGAAACTTTAATTTACATTTCAGAGAGTTTATAGAGCTAGGAAGTGTGTTTGTGTGTGTATTTAAGTACCTATAAATTGTTTCATTATTTTTTCTTCTTCTCAAAGGTAACGCTATGGGTTATGTACGGATGATAAGATCTGGTGGACTTCACTGCTGTAGCAGTGCAATTAGGTACCTACACAAATATTTCATTTTGCTCTTTGCTCCTCATTCTTCTGCTCCCTATTCCTGCTCATGTTCCCCATGTCCTTATCTGTACCCCATAACGCTGGAAAGATCCATTTATATGCCTTCATTTTAAGTGGAATTATCAAAGAGTGCTGAGATTCAGAACTGCACAATCATTGCCATAAACCACTAAAAATGAAACAAATTCCATGGGAAAATGCTGCAAAGGAGTTAATAGAATGTACATGTAAGATGTTATTCCTTAATTAAGTCAGTAATTTGTGATGTTAATCATTTCAAAGCTGCATTAAGGAAAACAATACTAACCTTGAGAAACTTGGAAAACAACTTTTTTTGATACTTTTTTTCTGTGCAGATGTCTGTGTTTATAGACGGTCATTAAAATATAGTGACTTGTGCATAGTAAGAAATAGTTGGTTTTCTAGCAAATAATAGTGAATTTCCAGTTCCTAAGGATATCAAGTGCTAGAGAGAGATGGTGACCCAGTAAAAGCAAGACAAACACTGATGGGTGTCGAGGTCTCTGTGTGTGTGTGTGCATTTAGAAGTGAGGTTAGTAGTGCCTGAGTGAGAATGCTGTGGCAGATGTGATGTGGTATGACTTGAAGTGAATCAAGCCCAGAAAATTAAAGTAACTAAGTTCTAAATTAGGGGAGCTACTTCAGTGAACAGAGACAGTTGAGCAACAACCTAACAAACAGTAAGTTTTCAGGTTTGTTCCTGATCTGGAAGATATTGTTAACTTTGAAGAGCTGGTGAAAGAAGAAGAACTCTCAGAAGAAACCCAAAAAGCAGCAAGGTACCCTAGCAGGGGATCTGGGGCGGGGATGGGGTGAGAATATTGTAGTTTTGTTTATGAATGCTACTATTAGTTGCACTTTTGTGTGTGTGTACTAAAAGTTCAGCTGCGTGTATGTAAAAATATTTGCTTTCCTTCAAAGCAGAGAAAAGAGCAGCAGCTGTTTTAGGAATGCAAGGTGGCATTGGTCCTAATAGAGTGTTAGAACCTGATGTCTTGGAAAAACCCCTGTCCAAAGACTAACAAGCTTTCCTCACTGTGTGTCTGACTTCCACTTTTAGGATGTCCAGGGCCCTAGGTAAAAAATGATGCAAGCATTCTATTAGAATCAAAGAATCAGGCATGTTGGAAAAGACCTCCAAGATAATCAAGTCCAATCCTACTGTGGTTACTAGACTATGGTACTAAGTGCCACATCTAGTCTCATCTTGAAATCATCTAGTCTCATCTTGATGCCACCTCCCTGGGCAGCACATTCCAATGTCTGATCACTCTCTCTATAAACAATCTCTTCCTAATATCTAACCTAAACCTACCATGGCAGAGCTTGAGTCTGTGCCCTCTTGTCCTCCTGCTGGTTGCCTGGGAGAAGAGACCAACCCCCACCTGACTCCAACCTCCTGTCAGGGAGTTGTAGAGGGTGAGAAGGTTTCCCCTGAGCCTCCTCCTCTCTAGGCTGAACAACCCCAGCTCCCTCAGCCTCTCCTCATGGCACTTGTGCTCCAGTCCCTTCACCAGCTTCGTTGCTCTTCTCTGCACCTGCTCCAGCACCTCAATATCCCTCCTGAACTGAGGGGCTCAGAACTGAGCACAGGATTCAAGGTGTGACCTCACCAGCACCGAGTCCAGGGGCAGAATCACCTCCCTGGTCCTCTTGACCACACTGTTCCTGATTCAGGCCAGGATGCCATTGGCCTTCTTGGCCACCTGAGCACACTGCTGGCTCCTGTTCAGCTTCCTGTCTCTCCAAACTCCCAGGTCCCTTTCTGCCTGGCTGCTCTCCAGCCACTCTGTCCCCAGCCTGGAGTGCTGCATGGGATTGGTATGGCCAAAGTGCAGGACCAGGACCAGCACTCAGCCCTGTTAAACCTCATCCCATTGGAATCAGCCCATCTCTCCAGCCTATCCAGGTCCCTCTGCAGAGCCCTCCTGCTTTCCAGCAGATCAACACTCTCCCCCAACTTTGTGTCATCTGCAAACTTGCTGATAGTTCCCTCAATCCCCTCATCTGACTCGTCAATAAAAATATTAAAGAGAATTGGGCCCAACACTGACCCCTGGGGAACACCAGTATTGACCAGCTGCCAACTGGACACAGCACTGTTCATCACCACTCTCTGGGCCTGGCCATCCAGCCAGTTCTTCATCCAGCAGAGAGTGCCCCTGTCCAAGCTGTGGGCTGCCAGCTTTTTCAAGAGTGTGCTATGGGAGATGGTGTCAAAGGCTTTGCCAAAATCCAGGTAGATTCTTAGGCCTTTTTTTGAGTAAATGAAATCAAATTGGCTGTAGAGGTAGAGAACTGAAAATACAGGACCGCAGATATAGGCAAAGGGTGAAGAAAAAGCTGTTACCCCAAGAAGGGAGTAAGCAAAGAAACTTCCAGCAGAAGCCAGGTAACTCCTTGCTTCTCCTTTGCAGACAGTTGGACTCTGTCCTCAGTGACCTCACCCGGAACTTTGCAGAAGGAACAGAGTACTTCAAGATGCTTGTGGATGTGTTTGCTCCTGAATTCCGCAGCCCGAAGAACATGCATTTGCGGAACTTCTACATAATTGTTCCCCCTCTGGTGAGTGTTTGCATTGGACCAGGACTTACCTGGAAAAAAAAGAGGTATCAGATCAGCTTTGTGTTTAGATAATATTTATTGGACTGTTGACTATAATATTCTATCCATATGACTATCATATTTACGGTGTGGAGGGTTGGGACTAGATGGTCTCTAAGGTTCATTCCAACCCTAAAATTCTATGATTCTACTTTCTTCTCTGATGATGGTTATTGTTTTGAGGATGGTTTTGTTGTCCAAAGTCAGGTTTTTGTTTATTTACATCAATTTATGTACTAGTACTCAAGAGGTAACTTAAAAAACTACTCCTCTTTGAATCACATTTGGAGAAGCCAAGTGAAAGAGGAGGAGTTGGAACAGCAAGATCAAAGATAATTTAAAATCATGTTCCTCAGCTCTCATGCCTGTGCTCTTTCTGCACACAAGAAGTATCTTTAGGCTCTTTTGATGTCGTGTTCTAAGGCAGTAAAATTGAGGCATTCTCTGTTGGAGTTGGACCTGCTTTTGATAATAAGCTTTGTTTAGAAAGAGTCCAACTAGATGGAGGTGATGCACACTTGAGTCTGGCATTGTGGACATTTGGAAGAGGTTCAGTTTGAAGGCCAAAATGATCTAGACAGATTAATGTGTAGCATCCCATTTTAGAAGCTGGTTTTGTAGTGTTGATAAGCCATAAACTTCAAACTGTGAGAATACAGGTCATGGTCATAGAAGTGAGGGAAAGTAAAGGCTCTTGACAAATACTTTTGAGCTTTTTTCTTTTCTTCTGTGAAGTTGTTGTTTTTTTTTGTCTAATAAGTACAGTTTGAGGAATCTCCATTTTAGTGGAAAAAGGCATTTCATTGTAGTTAAACTTGAAACTGTCCTAGGGTTTCATTTCCATGTCTGAAGACTTATTTCATACAAACCCACAGCACTCCTAGTAATAGACCTGGATCTAGTGCTCAACATCATGGAAAATGGAAGGCTATTGAAATATTTCGACTGCTTTCTAAACAGAGTGAAATAACAAGAGCTTTAAAACACTGTTCTCTGTAAGTTTTCCAGGAATCTGGGCTGTCTAAATGATCCTATGGTCGTTTGCATGTTTATCTCTAGTAATCCCCAAGAGAATGTGAAATGTGGTTTTGATTTGGGGTTACAGCAGTGACAGGTTAGTGGTTGGACTCGATCTTGGAGATCTCCTCCAACCTTGATGATCCTATGAAATAATAGTCTGACCAGAACATTGAAGGTTCAGATCTATCTTTGGTTTTTTGCTTATGTATATGGAAATGCTTTTCAAAGCTTAATTTGCTTTCTTCCCAAAAAGTCTAGAAAAAGGACAGGTTTTCATACAAAAATGCCTAAGGATGAGAGACACAGTGGGCACAGTTTTGGACATGCAATTCTATTCCTAGGTAAAAATATGTATGTGAATGCCTTGTGAAATTTGTGCATCTGGGATTCCAAGACTGTTTTTCATTCTTTCAGACCCTCAATTTTGTAGAACATTCAATCAGCTGCAAGGAGAAACTGAATAAGAAGAATATAAGTGGAGCAGCTTTCACTGATGATGGGTTTGCCATGGGTAAGTTGCAGCACACTCACTAGCCTTTGGGTAAGCCAAGGTAAAGGATATTTGCAGGAAGAGTTGTGTTTATATTTTGTCTGATCCCATCATTTAAATCTGATTTCTTGGCTTCTGCACAGTGGATTTGAGCATTGTTACTGTGTTCAGAATCTCCTAAGCACAGAGTAGCTGAGTATGGGAGCAGACAGTTTTGTTGTGTTCTGCTTCCCAATTTGTTTCAAAGCTTGTGGCTTTCAGCCCATGAGAAGGAATGAAAGTCTTTTGAGAAGTTGTGAGGCTTTAGAAAATGGCAGCATTTTCTTTACTGTGAAATTTCCCGCGAGATTTAATTGTAAATTTAATTGCATTTTAAGTGTTACTTGTGTGGGAATTATCAGCTTAGGCTGATCCATAAAAAAACACTCACAAAACGTGTCACAATTGCATGTTGACTTTGGTATGTGGTTTGTTAATGACTGTAGGTGTGGCTTACATTCTGAAGCTTTTGGATCAGTACCAGGAGTTTGATTCTCTGCACTGGTTCCAGTCTGTTAGAGAGAAGTATGTGAAGGAAATCAGAGCAGTAGCTAAGCAACAGAACGTGCAGTCCACTAATCAAGATGAAAAACTACTACAAACGATGAACCTCACTCACAAACGACTGGAAGTTTGTTTACAGGTACAGCATGGGCCTAGTTCGCTGTTCCAGTAACAATATCTGTTCTGTATTGAGTTCAGCACTTACTCATCACAAATCAGGTGTCTGCTTATGGAGCATATTGAGAGCAAAACCCAAAGCATTGTCTGCAGCAGTGATCCCAAAAGAGTATAAAGAAATGAGGTGTATGATCTGGAGGGAATGTCATCAGTGTTTGTGGTACCTGAGTCTGGCAAGAGGATGTGGCTGATTGGAATTCTTTGTCCCATGGAGTTTGAAATCGAATGCACTTAAACCCTAAATGCTTAAATAGCAGAGAACAATGTTTTGGTTAAATTTCTTACAAAGATGTTACATAACACTGTGAACCTTCAGAGTTTCGTAGGTGTTAATTCTGAGCTGCAAAGTTGAATGATGCCCCAGCTGTCAAACAGAGGAAAGATGCATTTGAAGCACAGCAGCTCAGGTTTCCTCTGTGGTGTGGTGCTTTCTCTCTCTCTCTGCTCTTGATTTGAGGAGAGTATGGGACAAATCTCTAGTTGGCCATTTATGAACAGCCCATGGTTACATTCTGTATTGAGATAGACAAAGCCCAGGATGTCCTCATGACCCCCATGAATGTGCAGTGTTGGGTCATCTGCTGTTAAGAAAGCACTGAACCCTGCTCAGAAACTGATCAGGCTTGTGGTCACTTCAGTTCTTGGCTTGCATGATTTTCCATGGTTAAGTTGCTGCAAGTTCTCACTGCTGCTACAAACCTCATTTTCAGCCTCAGTAGATTGGTAATGTTTCTTGCAGTTATGCTGCTTTGATGAAGTTGGCCTTGAAAGCAAAGGCTGACATTTGCTTTGCGAAATCCCAGAATCAATTAGGTTGGAAAAGACCTCTGAGATCATCAACTCCAACCTATGACCTAACCCCACCATGTCACCTAAATGTGTGTGAATAAGGTATGAGTGGAGAAAGATTCTCTAGCATTTAAGTGCTTTACATACTGAAAGCTAAGCCTAAAATTCTTCTGAAACAAACATTTATATCTGCTTACAAATTCATTCCTGTGCTACACTGACACTCCTCTCCTATATCTTTTCCCGTAGGAATTTGAGCTCCTTTATTTCTCACTAAGTAGCGCAAGAATTTTTTTCAGAGCAGATAAAACTGCAGCAGAAGAAAGCCAGGAAAAGAAAGAAAAAGAAGGTGAGTGAATGCTATAGGTAGACCATTTTGGCCCATGAGAGTGTGGCCTTAGTAGGGAAGGTGCTTTTTTTTCTCGTCTTCCAGAGCTGCTTTCTTGCTAGTGGGTTGATTCAGTGTTCCAGAAAGAGGTTTGTGGGGGTTAAGGGTGGTGAGGAGTCAAAAACAGCTCATGGAGCCCTTGTTTGGAACAGGAGAATTTCAAGCTGGGCTTCTGGGGTGTGGAAAAAAAGGCAACATCACAAAACCCCAACCCAACCCCATAAAATCTGGTACAGGGAGAATTGGATCCTTGCAGTAATACTCAATTCAGTAATTTCAGCATTATGCTTACCCCTCAATTCCCAGCGTGGACAATAGCAGCATTTTCTGTACAGCCTCAGCTGCTGTGAAATAAAGTGGTGGTTTTCACCTGATTTTTACCAACTGGTTTTAAACTTATGTAGGCAGATGATGCAGTTAGTGTAGGAATTCAGATGTTTGATATGTTTTTGTCTACCATTGAATTCTGTATTCAACAGGTAAGATGTTAGTTTGTGGTATGATCTCTTGACTAGGCAATGTGGGTCTTTTGTGTTTATATTCCTGCTTATATATTCTCCCTCATGAATACTGAAAGGTTCTCTTGGCTATGGGAAGATCCTTTCCAAAGACCTAAGAGTGCTCCTGAGGATTAAGATACAGAAATGCAGTCCAGTCCCAAGTTGCAGTACATTAAAAATTGAACTGGTAAATAATTTTCCCCTATAGTTCTGACAAAGGCACAAGTGACCTGTGAGGTTCCAGTCGCTGGAGGAAAAGATCAGTTTTCCTTTGCACTAGGAAAATGGTTTGAAAAGAAAATCTTTTCTTTTTAACATGAATTTATATTTGATCATATTCAGCAAAGTTGCTCCAATAATTGTTCAACTCAAAAAAAACCAACCAAAAAACCCCACCCAAAAAAAACCCCAAAAAGCAATGCCAAACTGCTCCAGGCATTGTGGTAAGGGCAAACTTCCCTGGTGTCTTTGAGAGAACATTCAGTAGAACATCAGTTACCTGATGATATTTTAGGTTAAATATTCACCATTGTGATACCTATTCAGTTCCCCAAACATATGTTTTGTGGTAAGAAAACTTTGAAATGCATAACAGGGTGGAACGTTTTGAACACAGTAGTATCTTTGCCTTCTACCAGGATATTTGGACTTGGACTTTGCAAGATGTATGAGCCTGTAAAATTGTTAGACAAGTCCTGACTGAAGAACCTTTCACCCCAAGTATCCATATATATATATATGTGTGTGTTAAGCTTTGGGTTTTATTGTCTTGAAGAAGATGTTAACATGATCCATGCCTTTATTCTTTACTGTTGCAGAAGAATCTGGTAAAGCAAACAATGGAGACCTTTCCAACCCTACGCCTGCAGAGCCTGTTGTGAAATGACATGGCTGGTAGGGGTGATGCTTCCTTACTCAAATCATTCATGTTCTTGTCATCATCAGTAACACTCTGTTGGGGGAAAAGCTCTGGATTTTATTTACTTGCTCTGTTAAACCCAAGTACGGTAGTATTAGAATCCGTAGAATCAACCAGGTTGGAAAAGACCTCCAAGATCATCAAGTCCAACCCTACCATGGTTACTAGGCCATGGCACTAAGTGCCACATCCAGTCTCATCTTGAAAACCTCCAGGGACAGTGAATCCACCACCTCCCTGGGCAGCCCATTCCAATGCCTGATCACTCTCTCTGTAAAAAATCTCTTCCTAATATCCAACCTAAACCTCCCCTGGCAGAGCTTGAATCTGTGCCCTTTAGTCCTCTTGTCCTCCTGGGAGAAGAGACCAACCCCCACCTGACTCCAACCTCCTTTCAGGGAGTTGTAGAGGGTGAGAAGGTCTCCCCTGAGCCTCCTCTTCTCCAGGCTCCATTACTAGCATCCACTGAGGCTAGGTCCATGTTTGTCTATATTTCCTGTAGATGCTCCTATTTTTCAGGAGTTCACATTATTTCCAGCACTTTCTTTAGACTGAAAATAATGATATAAAATGTTGACCTTGGTGGTAGTTATTTTAAAGTACAGATAAAAAAACCCCTTTATTTCTAGATGCATTCTGGCATCTCTAACATAGCCTTTACAAAAACCAACTCTTAGGCTATTGGTCCTAAAATGTGAAGTGGTGCAAAAGAAAGATTCAAGTTATTGTGTGCATCTGTTGTCCAAAAAATAATTCAGACTTGGTTTTATGCAGTCCTGTTGCATTTCATGCAGTCACAGATTACACTGCAGGTGTCACAGTGTATGTTAAATTGATTCTACAAAGCTGAAGTCCTTGTCCCTGCTTTATTCCAACCCTCTTATTATGACCATAATAGGATTTGTACCTTGGGAACTTAGGATCCTCTCAGACATTTCTTTCCCCCTGCTGTTTTTCCACCCCCTTATCAAAGAATGAGCAAACCAGAAAAGTGACCATAACAAGTTACTTCTGCTTTCATACCAAAGGTCTGATTTGCATCCCCAGAAGTAAGGAAATCCAGAGCCAAGACAGAACCACAATCAGCTCTTCCTTTTATGACCAGACACTGTGTGATGGGTGTCTGTAACTATGAAGTGATCTTACAGTTCATCAATATGTTGTGCCTAATTGCAAGTCTCAGCCTCAACTCTGTATTTCCTTGCCTTTGTAAGTCTGTTGTACTGTCTGTGTTGTTCCTACAGTCTTACCTGCCTGATCATTTACACTACAGGCTCAGAAGCTGCTGAACACTGTGAGAACTCTGTGTAAATATAACATCTCTTAATGCCTGCAAGTAGAGATTCTAGATTTGTGCAAAAGTTACTTGGATTCCTAACTGAAGTAGCTAGACTTAGCTTAAAACTTAACACCACTTTCATTACAAGATACAGGTGTGTTTTAATCTCCCAGAACATAAAACACTTCTAGGTCTTACAAACTAGAATAAACTACTCTGGTCAGTCCAACTGAGAATTACTTTTTGGGAGTTTTTTTGGCATTCTTAACTGTATTTTTAGCCCATACTTGCAAGCTTCTTTTGTTTCTTCTATTTACACAAAAAGATAATGTTTTAATGGTTCTAATTGTTCCACCCACCCTTGGGTCACTGGTTAAGACAATTCCTGGTATACTTCTGATTCCTGTCACCTCAACACTTAGCCAGGTAGGAAGACTTTCGTTGCAACTGGAAAGACCAGACTGATATGAAAGTTCCTTTGCAAACATGACACAGAAGCTTTATGGACTGTTAAAATCAGCTGGGCTCATTAAAGTTTTTCTTTTCAACCCATTCTAACTGCCCTAAAAAAATGCTGCATTTACTTGAGTTATGTTTTTGCTTTTTTATTTTGATACAGGTTTTGTTGTTTTGGTTTGCTTTTTTTTTTTCACTTTGTGCATACTTTTCTTGACCAAACTGTGCTGCACTGAGCACTGAGTAGTGCTGCCCAGCCTTCCTGC